AGCCATAAGATGCATATCGACAAGTAACAAAAACGCTGGCCAACGAGTCCCCATGTAGACGACGCCCCACATAAGCCAATCAACAAGGGCGGACTAAACTACGTAGTTATTTACCATATTGGCAGCACAGGACTTTTAGCTAGTATTTGTGCTGTATCTGTAGATAACTGCGTGGGGTATACTACTGGCTGCCTGTTGTCAGCTCGTGAATATTCGCGGTTATTCCACAGTAGCGGATAGACCAGCTCAAATATTCATTTCAGATCGAGAATGAGAAGGTCCTTTTCGAAGTATTTACTCCAAGCTCGCGTATTAATTTCCGCGGAAAATAAACAAGGTAGGAGGGCACTCGCACTCCAACATCGAGTTTGAATGGAAGTGGTGGTCCCTAAAGTGTATGCGGGAGCAAAAATATGCAACCGATTGTTATTCGTTAAGAGAAACTAGTATATGCTTATAGTAAATGATATATACCTTGGGTTATTTGCGGAAGGTCTTCACTTAGCTCCAATATACGGGAACAATGGCGTGTCGCAACGCCATTGAAGAGTGCCCTTCCACCATTGTTACTGATAACAACTGAAAGGATAATGTGCCCGTGACTCACGACCAACAAAAAGCGAGTTTAATATTGTAGCCGGCGCCTAACATTGCTGTGCGGCTTCCTTGTCCAAGGCCAAGTGCCTCAAGTTCATCCACTATCTCAGTCAGCTCTTTCAGATGCGCTGACCTGAAGACAATTGACCGGCTTCCACTGGGACGCACACACGTGCGTCCAGGTACTCGCGGCTGCCCAAGCGCCACTTGAGTACGCCACGTTTCCTCACCCTCGACAGACACAGCCTACGCCACCAGACACTACACCCCTCGGTAATTTTACACGCACCAACAGAAGAACACTTGAAGCTACTCTGCAATCCTACTTAAGCAACTGCCACCACTGTCTCATTCTCTCAGGCCTGGCTGGACGCAGTCGGCACAAGCCCTGGCTCCGCCAATGACCACTGCCGTCTGAGACAGCAACTGAACGCTCTGTATACAATAAACCTCTCTCGCAGATGCCTTCTGCCTTATACCTGCAACTGGGGATTTGGCATATTGTAGTGCTCCAAGTACAACCACTACTTTGACGCCACAATATACTAACCACTCAGCGGCTGTCGGCGAGGCGTGAGAGTGAGCCCCAAAACACGAAACGTATGGTCCGCGAAGCGATCGGCCAGCGCCCCACTACCATTGGTACTAAACTGGATAGCAATCGGCAGGATAGTAGACCCATGGCTTTATGATTCGTGCGTTGGACTTCTAATCAACAGCACGCAAGTTCAAACCTCGAGAATTGCAAAACCTGGGGTTGGGCATAGGCGCAGCCGAAGACTGATTACTATTCGATTGCCCAGGTACCTCCGCGAACAGCTTTACCGCAAAGGCGACGGGAATGTGCTGTTGAAGAACAAGGGTAGAAACACAAAAGTATATCATTTCGAAAGTCAAACGGATGCTGATACACAGCCTGGTTCTGCAAATTGGCTTCGAGGGTTCTGATATGCGAGGCATCACAGCAGGCATGGCGTGTTCTCATACATAACGAAAGTAGACTGGAATGGACAGCAAGAGCAAATGAGACGACCGTCAGGTCTGTATTTTAGCAAAAGTAGGCTGCATAAAAGTAACAGAGGCGGGTGGAGAGGAAAACGCGGCAGGATTTTCAAGACGACAATGAAAATTCTCCAAGTTAGGTAAGGGTGGGGAAAAAGAATTGCTCGGGGTTTTATGAAAAGAGTACGGAGTCGAAAGCATATGAACAAAGGTAGTGTGGATATAATAAACGATGGAGGGAAAACAGCTACACTGAATACAAACCACTCACTTTCTCTTCCTCTCGGTGTAATCTTTGTGGAACAAAGGGAAAGCACGGATAGGCGGCCTGGGAGGGTAAGTCGCCAATGGCAACATGGCAGTGGCAGTGATGGTGAGAATTATGGTCGCCAACAAAGTGCATAAGCTCAAGAAACAAGGCTAGGCAGAATAGGGAACAAATACACAGTTGTACACAAACAGTTCACCACCAAAAGGTGATGCAGAGCCTGAATAATTGCTCGTAGCGCGGAATAAATAGAAAAGGCGTCTCTCCCTCTCGCTGTATGTGTACGTTAGTGACTCGTTATCCCCCATTATTTCTGCAAACAAACCCACCTCCCCCCCTGTCCACAAAGATGTTGGTCATAAACAGACGGAGGAAAGGGAAATCGTTAGGTAAAGGGGAGGGGGGTTGGGGAAGGCTGTGTGAACACGCAGGCTGCTGGGTGAGGACGGGGACCATGGTAATTAGTTGGCCCAGGCCATGATTTTGGACAAATCCTCGTCTTCTTCGGCAGTCTTGTGGGAGACTACAAGGTAAAAACAAGGAACCGAATGAAAAGGCATTAAAAGAAAGTTATAAAAGTAGCACGTCATGAAAAGCGTGCTGTAGAGAGGTCGCACAATCGATGAAAACATGTATAAATCACGTGATCTCATAGAAAATGTCGAGTATTTGTAGGCGGCACTCAAAGACGCTGAAAGCGTCACACTCAAATCAAGTAAAAAAACACCAGAGGCCTAGCCTGAGGACCCTTTAGGTGCACTGAAAGGACCTAACTGGTAGTAAGTGGCACGTGAGTAAACACATGGCTGTGGGAGTTAATGTCGAATCATTCAGGGCAACTAGTTTGTCTAACAACTGGTTGACATGCATTGGTGAACTCATGGAGCTCAATTGCAAGACTTGTCTTACGTCCTCGCGTACAAAATTCCCAATTTGAAAAGGTTTCCGAGAGAACTGCTGATTATAGTGGAAGGAGCACTGCAAAATAAAAAGGCCATTGTGCATTTCAGGTAACATCTGCTCCCGCAAAGATGAAAAGAGTAACTCCTGGTAATGTGCATAGACGCTGGGGACTCAATAACTCTGAGGGTATTTTGATACAAATTCTTTTATTTTTACTTGATACAGCTGCGATTATCACTAATCTAGTCCACTTTGGGGGTGTCACGAACTTTACCTTTCCAACCGTTACAATCAGAGGCAGAAGATCTGGAGGATTAAACCTATTCTCTTCGCCAACGACGGAGACCGAATGTCAAAAAACCACTTCCATGCCTCGACGATGTGCCAAGCTAGGTTTTGAATTGAGCGCCACTTGGGCGCCTCCAAGCGGGTAACGGTGCGAGATTGAGGGCAGTAAAACTGAGTTCGTGAGATAGGTGACGAAGAACGCGTCCAAACAACGTCAGTCGTCTTTCTTGGATGGGCTGGAATATCCTTACGGTGTTGTCGCTGCGAGTGCGCATGGTCTCGTTTGAGACGAAGTCGGCATACTTCATTCGATTACTGCTAAAATACCTCAATCTTTCGCTCATTTCCCACGCGCAGAGCCCAGCATTCCCAACCATAGAGAAAGGCAAAGCGGACGGATGCACTATACACGGATCTTCGTGGTGGTGAAGGCGCGTCGGAGCCATGGGCACTTTCTGAGGCTCAAGAAAACCTGGCGAGTAGCATCGATTCTGGAAAGGCAATGAGTGCTTTGTCTGTCCATTCCACAACAGACTCGCCCGAAATAGTCCCAGCAACTGTGATTTTCTTAAAGTTGGCAGCCATCAATCACGAGAGGCACCCTCTCCTGGTCAGGGATTCAACTTGAAAACATTTTGATATTCCTAGCATTTAACCGACAGATTTGGCAGTCAAACTCACCCGTTAAACCATAGACTGTAGTTCATCAACGTCTGCAGCTATTAATGCGATAACATGGACGTAGTCGGCACTATTTAGTTGGCGTTCGGATGCAAACTCAACATTATAATTTTCAGAATTATAAGATGCGATCGCTGGAGCAAGAAGTGTATTTGCCTGGAGCTTTGGATTCTGTCTTGGATCTTTCATCGGGGGTAACCAATAAATAGGGTGATACATGCACAGATTAGGGCCCTCCCGAGAATCCAGTCAATAGTGTAGTTGAACATAATGAACGATACGATACAACCTTTTCGAACGCCAGGAACGGTTCGGAAAGATTATTATGCACCAGAACTCGAACAGTGGTAGAGCGGTAATAGGCCACGATCATGACGATGCTTTTGTTGGTGCACCGGCCACAGGAACTCGCGATGGGCGGAATCGAACGCGGCGGCAAAGTCTACAAAATAGACTGCCGTCGGCTGTTGGCAGCTATCACTGAATTCAAGGATGGGCCTCAGGGTAAATATCTGTTCCGCAAATCCACGCCCAGTACGGATTCTGGCTTGGTTGGACCTCATCCTAGAGACCCGCACAGCCTCGAATCGCCTAAGCGTAATAGTGAAGACTTTCGCGACGTCGTCGATGAGGCCTATGCCGCAGTAGTTCTCGCATTTCGTCTTATCTATATTCTTTAGGATAGGCACAGGGATCCCGAATCACTTAGAGGTGCGGGGGACTAGAAGTCAACAAAGCGGAGCAGGAAAGGAGCCAGGATAACATGCAGTAAGCTGCGTGTTCAGCTTTTCCATTGTAAGCATAATAGAGGGCCAGGTCTTGAAGAGATTTTCATACTGGTTGTTACAAGCAAGGCACGTTGCTTTCATAATTTACTATTTCTTTCGGAACTCCTTATTAAGGGCAGTAATTGTCCCCTGTCGCAATAGTCCAGGTACGTAATCAGAAGAAACGCGCCGGTTAGTACGCCAGCCACACACTGAAGACAATAACGTTAGGCCTGAGTGTCGGCTTAGCTGTCATATGCCGGTAGCTTCAGGCGGTGGCAAATTGCGAAAGAATATATAAGGATTACCCGTGGCATGGCAGACTTGGTTTGAGAATAAACAGTCCTAGGTCAGCACCATACGGGGGATCGGGCCCGGCCCTATAGAAGTTTACCGTAATGCCTAAGTAACAACAAAGTTTTCCTTATTGTCGCTGTTTTACGGATAGTACAAACGTCGAGTTGACTACTTGGGCATACGACTTTTGTTAAAATTCCCCGATCTTCGTGTTTCCATGTTCTCCTATCGCTCGTCCAAATTTATGTTAAGGTGACTACAAAGTCGAATGCGTCCAATAGGCTGAATACCAAGTATGCAAGGTAGCCTTTTCGAGATAAAAAGGCCGGGCGTCATCGGTTGTAACATTTTTCGAACTCATACAGGAACCCAACGTCGGTCATAACAACGGTAGCAGCAGGTGTGCATTTCTGTACTTTCTACCCAAGGATTGGCCACGTGCGTCCTCGGCTGGGAACGCGCTCATAATAGAATGGTTTAAAGTGTGTAAGAGGCTCAAGCGGCTTACAATCCGTTTTGCTACCGGCCATTATCATTGAAAATGCGCCTATAAAGCTGAACACAGCCTGTCTCCGACTTAGGACCGCGGTTCGACCTTCGAACCGTTATTTTGTGCCCAGGTATTCAAAAGCCGACTTTTCTTGTGGTAGGGTGGTTATAATGGTGGAAACATTTACCACATGGCGCCCGATAAGTCCCAATTAACTGTCCACCTGC